TCCAGCGGCCATCTTTGAGGGATTTATACTGGTCTTCTGCTGTTCCTCTGCTCTTACTGGCTTGTATTGATGTGAGAATCCTGGATTTTGTGGCTGTTTGCTGGTTCTTAATATCAGGCTGGTGTTGGCCTAAATAAATGCGCCTTTTACAAGTTGGAAAAATGTGAGTGGTCTGGATTCTGTCTTCTGTTATAATATCTATCTGGCAATATTACACTATATAAGTTTTTTTTCTCCAATACGGTGGAGTATACCACGGTGAGGACCTGGGAGAAGATACATACCTGGTGGGGCAGGCTAATATTGATCTGATGCAAAGAGGGTTTAGGATTCCCCAAAAATCCTTAAAGGCTTTTCATTCACCAAAATCTGGTGAGTGTATTTGATGTTGGTGTGCACGGGTGATAGGTGGAAGTTTCCTAAAAGCATTTGGAATCCTCAGCTTTCATCACAAGTGGTTTTGGGGTGTCTTTCCTGAAGATTTTTTGACAGAGATATGCACCAATTATTATTGGACATTTATGTTTTGTGATTCACTAAATTTGTATGAAGGTCTATTTTGCGCTGTTTCATTTATAATTATTATTTGTGTTTTCACATTTTCTGCACAGCAGCAATTTAGAAGAGGAATACACATATTTTGTATAGGGCTCTTTTCTGTTGGCGCAGGAATATTATATTTTTTGTTAGAATCATTGTCGTCCAACTCTTGAGAGAGCATTAGTGCCTGGTGATTGGCCGATAGTCCCAAGTATGAGAGCTATCACTGTATACTCTCCTTTAGAAATGTTAATTCTTTGGCTGTCAATGCTTTTGGAAACTCTGACCCAGGACAAATATAGAGATAATGTATTCTGCACACTCATGTACAGCATGCAGATACAGTCAAGCTCCTAGCAATTTCAAAAGAGGGCCATCAATGGCCGCCTCCATACTTTTTTCATGACTTTAAGAACAGGAGCTAAATGGAGCACCCTGCCTTCTATGCAATTTTAGAGTATAGCAATTTAGCCCTGCAGTACTGGAGTCCTTGGTTCAGGAACGTCTATTCTATAACCCATGTTTATGTGAATTTCCTCCGATTACACAGTTCAATTAATCATCTTCTGATCAAACTGCCCCTACAGTGTATATGGCTGCTCTTCTGAGAGAATAAGTCACTCTATTAAATAAACACAGCTCCTCAATTATTGTAAAAAAAATGACTTCCGCAATCAAAAGTCCAACCCTCTTACCGAGGTCCATGTCTCCGGCTTTGGGGCGCTGGGAGTACGGGACCCCCTTGTATACAGCATCCAGCAGTTTCTCCTTCACTTGCGTTATGGTGTCACAGTTCAGCACCTTCACCGGGATTTCCGGCGCATTTTCGTTCTCCGGATTGACACAATTGAGCGTCTGAAAAGAAAGTTTCAATGGTGACATAAAAATCAGGAATGGCTTGGAGTTCACTGCAACCTGTAATCAGCTAATTCAATTATTCCTTGTTTCTCTGATACAGAATTTATGACTTTAATAAGCATCATTCCCCACAGGAAACGGGGAGCACAGGTGCGGAGTACAGACTGGTGCTGCCGATGCTCATTAAACTTGCTGCCATGCCGTCATCCCTGCAGCATTTCTCAAGCGTCTAGAAACAGGAGCAGGCTTTCCTGATATCCCTGAGAGGCATGCAGCAAGAGGGATCCACTGAATGTGGACACAGGATGCACAGGAAGGATTATGTAGCAACCAATGTACTTTTATTTTTTTTCTAATACAGATTAAACATTGGAAGTGAAAAAGAACCAATCGCTTGAGTCTTCATTAGTCAGTCTAAAGCAAGCTATAACTTTTTGAATGTACTGCCCAAATATGGCCATGTGTACAACTTGATCTGAATCGGAAGTCTGGCCCTTTGGTGTCCAAGCTAGGATATTCCTCCAAAATAAGGGAGCTGCCATTGTCGGAGGTGTGTTCTATGGGCACTGAGCCTTAGTTTTGCCGGTAACTTGCTGACCTGGAACAAGCATGCACACAAAGTGACTTGATGCTTCAAGTCAATAAAAGACACCTCCTATGTTTCTCTTCTAACAAGTTCCTTATTGTTTTGCTGTGTATTCATTTTATTTACGTTCCTCTTCCCTCCAGCAAAGTCGTTACCCTCAGTGCCTTAAACCTTTATCCAGTCACAAGCATTGTCACTTATTCTGAACTAAGTTATATCAGGCAGGAAAGGTGTGGAGGAGCTGGCTTTGATAGCAGAGATCCCAGCAATATACTCCATCATAATCTAATGCCTCCTCTCCTAAATCGTGTCAAGAAGGGAGGAGTGGAGAAGCTGGTTTTGATAGAGGTCCCATCTGCATATCCTTAGATAATTTTGGGGAAGAGGCATACAATTTCTCAGGAACTGAAGGAGTGGAGATCCCAGCTACATACAATTTTTGTCTCTTCTCCTAAATTATATCAGGTAGGAAAGGAGTGGAAGAGCTGGCTTTGATAGAAACCCCAGCTGCATACTCAATCATAATTTCTGTCTCTTCTTCAAAAATATGTCAGGAACTGAGTGGAGGAGCTGGCTTCGATAGCGGAGATCCCAATTTTATACCTTTTCTACTATACTATGCCAGGAAGGGGGAGGAATGGTGGACCTGAACTTAACTGAGATCCCAACAACATAACCCATGACAGCTTTCTGACTCTTTCCTTAAATCATCTCACAAAAAGAGGGGAGTGAAGAAGATGGCTTTGACAGCAGAAATCTAAGCTACATACCCTATGATAATTTTAGAGAAGAGGCATAAATGTCAGGAACTGAAGGAATGGAGGAGCTGGCTTTGATATTGGAGATCCCAGCTACATACAAATTTTGCCTCTTCACCAAGTCAAGGAAAGAGTGGAGGAGCTGGTTTTGGTATTGGAGATCCCAGCTACATACCCAATGATAATATCGGTCTCTTCCTCAAAAATATGTCAGGAACTAAAGGAGTGGAGGAGCTGTCTTTGATAGCAGAGACCCTAGCTATATACAATTTTCTGCCTCTTCTACTATATTGCACCAAGTATGGAGGAATGGTGGACCTGAACTTGATAGCTGAGATCCCAGCTACATAACCCATGACAATTTTATGACTCTTTTGCTAAATTATCTCAGAAAAAGGGGGGAGTAGGGGAGATGGCTTTGACTGCCAAAATGTCAGCTATATATCCTATGATATGTTTGGAGAAGAGGCATAAATGTCAGGAACTGAAGAAGTGGAGAAGCTGGCTCTGATATTGGAGATCCCAGCTACATACAAACTTTGCCTCATCTCCAAGGCAGGGAAGGAGCCGTTTTTGATATTGAAGATACCAGCTATTTATCCAATAACAATATCTGTATCTTCCCCCCCAAAATATGTCAGGAACTAAGGGAGCGGAGGAGCTGTGTTTTATATTGGAGATCCCAGCTACAAACAGTTTTCTGCCTCCTTTACTACATTATGCCAGGAAAGAGAGGAGTGGTGGACCTGGACCCCAACTACATAACCTATGATCATTTTCTGCCCCTTCTTTTAAATTATGTCAGGAAGAAGGGGAGTGGAGGAGCCAGATTTAAAATCAGAAACGCCAGCTACGTACTATATTATAACTTCCTGCGTATTCTCCTAAATACGTCAGGCAGGGGAGGAGTGGAGGAAATGGATTTGCTGGGAAGAATTAGAAGGGTTACAAAGGAAACTCATGTAAAGACAGACCTGTAGGAGGTAAGTTTAGTGGACATCATAGGTCAGACTTCCAGCCAAGAGTCAAGTGTTTTAAGCAATGAAGTAAATCTCTAACTAGCCATTTACAGCAAATGAAAGATATTTTAAAAAGTTGTAACCTAAAAGAATATATTTTACAAGCGATGGGTCCTCTTTAAAGCAAATCTGCCACAGATGAACCAAGGTGACAATATCACAGAAAAAACTGACACCAGGTAGTAGTGGCTTTTTACGGTTTTACATTCATGCTGTTGCTGCCAAGCAACGGGCAGTAGAAAATTAGTGGTTTCATATAAATCTCCGACAGCACAGAACTGTACAGAGTCGGAAGCTGCGGACACTGTAGATGATTTAAAATGGCGGCACGTAGAATTTAGCATTACATTATTAAATAAACCTGGACACTGACAGGCGTAATATGTTAGAAATGTAGTGAACTGCAAGGCAAACTTTTTTTTATTTATTGGGGACATTTTCAATTTGCAGGATAAGTGCTCCTTCCTAATAAAAAGAAACATTATATTCATAGCTGGCTGATTTAATGCTCAGACCAATAAGATGAAGATTTCTTTGCAGGACATGCTTTTAGCGCAGCATCAGGAAGCATGTGTACAGAAAGAAAACTCCACAGGAAAGACATTTGTTGGCAAACTGGAGAAAGAAGACATCCCCATCTTCATTTTAACCCATCTTAGCTGATCTCTGCCAGCAAATTGTGAAAATATGCCTCAGAAGCATGAGATCCTGGGATGCTTTTTTGCCTTTACTTAATACACTATATGGGCAAATGTTTGGGGACACATGATCATCACAACTACCGATGTGACCTAAAGTAAGTGGACACCATTCCAAACGATGGAGTTCAGGTGTTTCCAGGGAAGGGTACTGTTAATGCTACTGCATACAAAGACATTTTAGACAACTGTGCACTTTTAACGTTGTGGTTAATTTGGTGAAGGCCCTTTTCTGTTCCTCAGTGCACAAAACCAGCTCCATAAAGACATGGTTTGACCAGTTTGGTTTGGAGGAACTCAATTGTCCTGCAGAGCCCTAAACTTAACCCTTTTGAATGCCTTTGGAGTAAATTGGGAAAACTGATTGTGAGCCAGGTTTTCTCATCCAACATCAGTACATGACCTCACAAATGCTTTTTTGGCTTGGAAGAAGCGGCCAACACCATAGTAATACCCATGATTTTGAAATGGGGTGCCTAACAAACACATACAGGTGTGGTGGTCAAGTCTCCACAACCTTTTTTCCCTTATAGTGTTTGGTGTGGAAGACCAGTGACCAGTTTGTTGTGGAGAAACTAGAGTATCTGTCAGGAACCATCGCGACGCATGGGTCTACACATGCGTAGGTGTCTGCCGAGACGTATAGGTGGCAGGGCACTAGGACCCAGGCGCACCTGTCATCTGGACAATACTAGGCAGGCACTGGGACCCAGGCTACGCCTGTCAGGTGCAGGGTGGGCTATTTAAACTAGACCTGCACAGACACTTGTTGCCGAATGGTCTTTGTATCCTGTTACCTGTGTGTGAGTACTTCTGATCTGGATTGTTTTGACCTTGTTGCCTTCTCCCCGTCCTGACCCCTTGGCTTGCCTGACTCTGCTCCTGGATGTTCCTGTTTAGATCTGACCTCCTGGTATTGACCCTGCGTGTGACCCGACTATCCTTTGCCTACCGTTTTGTACCTTACCGATCCGCTAGTTACCGACCCGGCCTGCATGACTCTGATTTAGCTCATCCATCCACCCACCCCGCAGGGATCACTAGGCTCCCTTACATCAGACTCCTAGCTCTCTGGAGCCCCTGTCAGACTCCTGTTAGTAGATACCTGGTAGTTGCGACCTGGTACCGGAGCGCTCCAAGTCCATCCCCACCATCAGGGGCCCTGGTGAACAAGTGCTCCGGTGCTTAGACTCCGCACTCTGGGGAGGCTCTACCAGGGGACTGATAGAGGTGCTGTCAGGCGGTCCGTTACAGTATCATAGAATCCCTGACTTGAAACCTACTGAACACCTTTGGGATGAATTGGAAATGCTGTTTACAAGCCAGGTAATCTCATTCACCATCAGTACCTGACCTATAAAATAAGCAATAGCTCCCACAGACATACCCCAAAATCTTCCTGGAACAGTAGAAGCTGTGGACCAAAGGTGGTCAACTCCATATTAATGCCCATGATTTGGTAACGGGATGTCCAACAAGCTCATATAATAACGTGATGGTCAAGTATTAGCAAACTATGGCCATATAGTGTACGTCCAGTGTCTACAGTCTATAGATGGCTAAATAATGAATACATTTGAGCAGATAGGGTCTTTGAAGACCCTAAAGAAAATATGAGAAAGGCAGATTGTCACTGAAGCCCTGCCTTATTTGCCTAGATTCATAAAGATGGTATAAAAATACACTTATGCTTTAAAGATTGGCCAATCTGGCCTCTTTTTTTTCTCTAGTTCTCTGTAATGCCAAAGATGCAATGGGCTTTATATATCAAGAACTGTTCTTGTCCAGTGAGGTTTCGGAGACAGAAAAGCCACGCTGACTGGCTGCGGTGGGCAACACACCCAGTTCTTTCAGACACACGGACATATACAGTTTACTATTCAGACACTGCCAGTCGGTGGGAAAAAAGTGTTTAGGGCTATAATAAAACTGCTGAATTAATTAGATGTACAGATGGAGAAAGTTTATTTAAGACAAGCAGCATATTTTGTCCACGCTGTTCTGTGCAGAGTTGTGCTATTTGTCTCAGATTGGCTCCATCTGGAACTTGTCCGACTTTTTTCAAATTCTCTGGATATGGAGGAAAAATTTGGGCTTTTTTAATACAGCGAAGAGAACGGTGCAAACAGCAGCCACTTACAACAGCCAATAATAAATCATCAATGGCAATGCACAAAGTTTTTCTGGTTGTTAAAGGATAGGTTCACCTTTGGGAACATGTTCAACATGTTGCTTTTGGGTGTTGCTCTGCTGCATTTAGTGAGATCTTCTTCCCTATTTGCTGTTACCATTTAAAAAAAAAAAAAAAAAAAAAAAAAAAAAGATGCCCAGCAGCATCATTCATTCACAGAATTCGGTGAATGGAAAACTAGATGCCCTGACAGCTTTTGCAGCTATCGGCTTGTAGTTACATAGTTAGTTTGGCTGAAAAAAAACAAAAGTCCATCCAGTTTAACCATTTAAAAAAAAAAAAAAAAGCCCACGGCATTGTTGAGCGCTGTGTCGCTTCCTGTGTGTGTGTATCCGCTTGCCCATACAAGGTACAAGCACACAGACACACTGACAGGTCTGCAGGAGTCCTGCATGGCACCTGCAATCTGCTGATCATGGGTGCAATGCCTTCTAGGCTACGTAAAAAAAAAAAAAATAATAATTTATTTTTTACCTGTAAAATAGACGTGCATTTACTATAAAAGGTGAACTTATCCTTTAAGGAGTGGTAGCACTGTAGACAAACATTTTTTTTTAGTTTTGTCTGGAAGCCAGATTTCGTGGTTGAATCGCCCACCCTCTTCTGATACACTATACAGTCAAAAGGTTGTAAAGACTTGATCATCACACCTATATGAGCTTGTTGGTTATAAAACCAAAGGCATTTATACAGAGCCGCCCCAACCTTTGTGGCTTTACCAGCCTCCATTTTTCTATGAAGTATTTCTACGTGAGGCCAGGTACTGATGTTGGAAGAAAAGAGTTGGCTCACAACTGGCTATCCAATTCAACCTAATGAAGTTCTGCTGTGCCGGGGTCAAGGCTCTGTGCAGGCTACTCAAGTTCCTCAACACCAAACTGGTCAAACCATACCTTTATGGAGCTGGCTTTGTACACAGGGGCACTGGCATGTTGGAACAGAAGAGCTGTTAACAAGGTTGGAGTCTCCCAACTTTCTAAAATGTCCTTGTGTGATGTAGAATTAGCAGTACCCATCACCTGAACTCAGTCATTTGGTGGGATGAACAAATTTTTGGCTGTAAGTGTATCTCTATCAAAAAATCCAGAGAAGAGACCACTTGCATCCAGGTTTAGCCTACTGATACACAGCTATAACTAAAATATCGGTTTTAGGAGCACAGGACCCTCAAAGAGGTTAAGAACAACTCCCCAAACCACTGATGCACTCCCCTGTGCCTTGTTGCAACCATTGGCAAATACCCAGTTCTTATAAGCATGGAGGAGCATGTGACCTCCTCAATGGATGCAGTGCTCAGGTCTGTGAGGCCAATTGCTAGGTTAGAACATGGTCACTTGAGGAAGGGGAGGAACTCATTAACACTGTGTAAGCTCAGGCATGGAGCTTACACAGGGTTTAGACTTGTAACTCTGATGGATGAACACAGCAGTAGGGAAGTACAGGGAAGGTGAGAATCAGTGGATGGGAGGTTCTTCTTACAAGAGAACCTGTCACTTTTGCATATCCATGGCAAAATGACAGTCTCATTAAGCTATTGGACAGTTCTGCAATGGGGTGTGCTGGGATTGGTTGAACGGCAGCAGAAGAAGGAAACTCCTCTTGCTTCCACCACAGTCAAAGCTGAAATGGATTGAAGGATCCAGCCACAGAGCATAGAGCTGGGACCAAAACTTACTTGAGGCGAGCGGCACCATGATTCATCGCTCAGCCCGCCATCGCAAAGATTCTTCAATCCATTAAAGGGTGAGCCGGTTTAGTGAGAAACACAGAAAAAAAAGAAGAGAGAGGACAGGGGGAGAGAAAGAGAGAAAAAAGTCCAATGAAAAAAAAAGCGACTCTGTTGAATAGCGAGTGGCAATGTAGCGTGATGTGGGCTATGCTAGGCAAATCAGAATACATACGAGACTGTATATTTATTTAAAGAACAACTCCATACAACACAGATATTTGAGTACTGGTAAGGTGAAATCATAATCTAGAAATTGGTATCTCTCAGATTCAGAAGCCAAAATTTCTGTGTCTGCCCCTCCCACAAGTGTATAATGGGTGTAATACTCTCTCACTGCTGGATTACTAAACTGTTTCTGTAGTTTGCATGTATAACCTTGTGGCATTTACATCTTTTATTTTATTTGCAAGAATATGTAACTATCCAACATGTTTCTAAGGTCACCCCCTTCCCCGTGGCTTTGGGATTTGACTGGTGGAAATCAAATTGCATGTGTGGGTTAATACCTTGAATCTTAGAGGCTTCTTATTCTTGCGGCTTTGACCCCACGGCTGCGTGCCAATCAAGCTGAATCCCAGAGCCCCGAAGAACAGGATGACCTTAAAACTTCCCAAATGCATTGGATTTTTGACATGCAAGGTCTTCAACTTCAAATGTAACCATCTAAACAACTGAAAGTTTTGAATTCCCACCCAACCACATTGCAGTCAAAGACCGTTTCCATGATTTCTGGTTAGCTGAATCACAGGGTGGTATGCGATGGCTCAACTACTATAACAAATGATGGCATCTTACTTGCCTAACCAAATTTCCATAATGGAGAATAATCAATTAATGTAAGGACAGAGCTGAAGTAGAGAGAACTACATCATGGCCTCGTGAAGACTATGGAAACACAAACCACTGTAGGGAAACCAAACCACTGGAGCAGGGGCGGACTGACAACTCATGGGGCCACCGGGCAATAGGGGATCATGGGGCCCCTGTGTCCTTGCCCAAACTCAAAAAAGCCTATGAAAAAGGTACCAAGGGCATCTCATGGGGCCCCCTACTGACCCCGGGCCCTCAGGCAGTGCCAGAGTTTCCAAATGGTCAGTCTGCCGCTGCACTGGAGTCAACTCAGAAGATACAGAAGCCACCAGCCTGAAACATCAGTCCTGGATGGAGCTGGACTTTTACCCTGCTGATATAAATGGGAGGGTTCAATAGAGCAGAGGTCTCCCTTATTGGTTCAGCCCAGAGCTGTCCAGCTGCAGCCAGCCTACTTATAAGTCTGCTACAAAACATCCAGCTGTTTCATTGTCTTCTCAACAAATCCTTTTGCTGGGCCATGAGTAGATATGGAAGACTAGAGCTGGACAGACCTGCTCCCACCACACAAAGCAACCTCAGCAAAACGCACAACATGCACACTGCTTGAGTCAGTGAAAATGAGGTTTAATAGCGAACAGATATTGCTCTCTGATGAACTGACCAGCATCTTGTAGTCGATCTGTTGGCGGATGAGCTTATCTTCACTCAGGGAGTATCGGGCTTCTCCTGTGATGGCATCAATGGGCCCTTTCTCCATCTGCTGCTTGATGGCGCAGTACAGCATGAAGAGCGGTTCTCCAGCGCATTCCTGTGCAGGACCAGAGAGGGGACATGGTGAGTTACAAGCTGGGAAATTACAAGCACATTAGACAAAATGAACTAAATAGTATGGTCATATAATAGGAGAAATAATAAGCATGTTCTTTTTTTTTCATACCTTCAGCCAGAAATATTGATTTGTATTCGCCTGCTACACATACATGCAAATATTGAAAGTACTATGTAGCTGTGCCATTTTATACATGAACCGCAACAAACGGGAGGGGTTGCCCATGAACCACATGGTTCTAAAACAGAACTCTGAGCATCACAGATGTCTTTTAACCTCCTTAGCGGTTTTCCCGAGTGTAGCTCAGGGTAAAATTTGAGTACCAAGAACGGTAACCCCGAGCTACACTCGGGTTTACCATGCGGCATTGCTCAGGAGGTCCCTGCAGCACTTACCTTGTCCTTCGCTCCCGCGATGTGTCCCCTGCAGCGTCCCGGCCATCTCCTCCGGCATCCGGCTTCCGTGTTCCGGTCCCTGTGACGTCGGGACGTACGGGCGCCGGAATCGGCGGGAAATTTGAAATTTTTAAAAAATTCAATTTTTGCTGTCATTGCTGTTTCAATGCATTTCACATACATTTTGTCCCTACTGCTTTGTCCGGCGCTCTGCCTGCATTTTGAATGTTCTTTCTGCCTGGAAACTTAGAAAAGTCCATGGTTTCCAAAAAGCGTCCCTTTATGTCAAAAGCGGTTTTAGAACAGCGATAGTAAATCAGAACCACTTGCAGAATTGAGTGATGATCCGTGGGGGAAATTCGTCATCAGACACTAAAAATGATTTTGCGACTTTGCTCAGCGATGTGTGAATTTGCCTCTGTATTTCAAATTTCAGTGTTTTTGGTTTGATTATATTATTGAATTAAATTTATTATATTATTATTTTTTATGATTATTTATTAAATTATAATTTATGATTTCGTGCTTCAAGTTTTATCATACCCGGGATGATTACTAGACTCTTGTTCAGACAGATTTCAGTGAGTTATTCCTAAAAATTACACGCCTACAATAAAAAACTACATATTTACATGCAAAAAAAATGGTACCGCTTTCAGCACAAAAAATCAGAAAGAATCATAGCGCCGAGGAGGTTAAATACACCCCTAATAGCCACATAGAATATAAATCCACTTTGTGTACATCAAATGACTTTACACCAGGGGCGGACTGACAACTCATGGGGCCCCCGGGCAATAGGGGATCATGGGGCCCCTGTGTCCTTGCCCAAACTCAAAAAAGCCTATGAAAAAGGTACCAGGGGCATCTCATGGGGCCCCTTACTGACCCCCCGGGCAATAGGGGATCATGGGGCCCCTGTGTCCTTGCCCAAACTCAAAATAGCCTATGAAAAAGGTACCAGGGGCATCTCATGGGGCCCCCTACTGACCCCCCGGGCAATAGGGGATCATGGGTCCCCTGTGTCCTTGCCCAAACTCAAAATAGCCTATGAAAAAGGTACCAGGGGCATCTCATGGGGCCCCCTACTGACCCCCCGGGGCAATAGGGGATCATGGGGCCCCTGTGTCCTTGCCCAAACTCAAAATAGCCTATGAAAAAGGTACCAGGGGCATCTCATGGGGCCCCCTACTGACCCCCGGGGCAATCGGGGATCAGTGGGGCCCCTGTGTTTCTTGCCCAAACTCCAAATAGCCTAGAAAAAGTTACCAGGGGCATCTCATGGGGCCCCCTACTGACCCCGGGCCCTCGGGCAGTGTTTGAGTTTCCAAATGGTCACTCCGCCCCTGCTTTACACAACCACATTTTAGCTTGCAAAAGAATCGAGGACATCATCGCTGTGCTGTATGTAGCCTGTGTAGAGAGCAGAGCTGTGGGAGGAGCACATCAAGCTCCACCCACTACAGAAAGGGGGAGGAGACAAGACCAGTCACCCTGCACATGGGTAGGTGTGCAGGGTAGGTCTTCGTCCCCTCCTGTGCTCTTTTGCAGGCAGCCTGCAGTGGGTGGACTAGTAGGTAAATCTTTGCATGGTCCACCTGATCCAGGGAAGGAATTGTTCAAGTTGGGGGTTTGAACTAATAAGCCTTGAATAAATGCTTTGTTGCATCTGACAAACAGCATGTCCATTTCAGGCTGCCCTAATGCAAATGTTAGCTGTAAAGGGAAAAAAAAAAAAAAATGGAGCAGCAGACCCCAATGGTTTGATGACCCTCAGATTACACTACGTTCTGGGACAGAGGCGTCATCTCCACAACACTTTTTTCACATCCAGATCTGCTCTGGTGCAAAAGTGCAAGTGCTTCCCTGTCACCATATGCTGTTAGCATCTCGTTAGCATCTGCAGTAATTAAAGAGACAGCTGCTAACGAGCAAGAGCAGGCATACATCATCCCCAGACCTTCCGACAACGCGCTTGTCTTTGAAATTATGGTTCATTTGCAAACTTAGCTTCATTAATTCAGCCTGGGGAAGGCGAAGAGCGGGATCTGCGCCTGACCACACAACGGGTAATTAATGGATTCTGCAGAATTTTTTGGGACACCTGCGCTCCGAATGGCGGATTAAAAAAAAAAAAAAAAGAAAAAAGAAAAAAGAGAAGGTGTTTGCTTTTTCATTGCTGAGGCGAGCTGAGGGAAAGCTGGTCCTATGGCTGCGATCAAGCAGCCATCTTTACACTCACAAGGTCTGCGGAGGGGTAGAGGGAGTCAGAGGTGAGCGTTAGCAAGGAGTGAGATGTATAAATGATGTGGAATATCTTTACACAGTCGCTGCCTTTCTATAAAATAAGAATGAGCATGGAGTAGCCCATCTCTGCGGCTTTTGTGCTAAGTTCCTTCAACAGAATTCTACTCTTTAAAGGGCAACTCAATCCCATTTCTTTGTTCTTCTGGAAAATAATCTCAATTCTGGACTGCTGTAAAATGAAAAGAATTAGACCACCCTGCTTGGAAAGGACAATCCAGCACAGAGAGCCAATCAACTGTACTTTAGTATTCACGGGCTGACAAGGAACATGCTGATAGGAGGAAAGAGCAGAGCGACAGAGATGAGCTCGTCAGCTGCTTCCACTTTCACTGTCTGGTAAAAGGCTGGGGGAGAGACAAGACCTACGTTACGTAATCTCCTGCCACCGACGTAACGCATATGTGCAGTGGCAAAGAGGGTGGTCTTTAATGCTCAAAGTTGTCAAAGACAACTCCTGGTCTCTAATGATGATCAGGAGCTGGTCTGGCCAATCACAGTGGTCACATGATCAGGCATATCTTTCCATCCCCAGGCATAACAGCCCAGTTAAACGAACGCCAGTGCTGGGCGGGAAGGGGTTAAAGTGTATGCCCACATAAAGTGTATGTGGTCACATGATCAGGCAGACCTTTCCATCCCCAGGCATAGCAGCTCCATTAAAGGGACGCCAGGGCTGGGTGGGAAGGGGTTAAAATGTATGTCCACATAAAGTGTATGTGGTCACGTGATCAGGCAGACCTTTCTGTCCCCAGGCATACCAGCCCCTTTAAAGGGACGCCAGGGCTGGGCGGGAAGGGGTTAAAGTGTATATCCACATAAAATGTATGTGGTCACATGATCAGGCAGATCTTTCCATCCCCAGGCATAACAGTTCCATTAAAGGGACGCCAGGGCTGGGCGGGAAGGGGTTAAAGTGTATGCCCACATAAAGTGTATGTGGTCACGTGATCAGGCAGACCTTTCCATCCCCAGGCATAACGGCCCCGTTAAACGAACGCCAGGGCTGGGCGGGAAGGGGTTAAAGTGCATGTCCACATAAAGTGTATGTGGTCACATGATCAGGCAGATCTTTCCATCCCCAGGCATAACAGTCCCATTAAAGGGACGCCAGGGCTGGGCGGGAAGAGGTTAAAGTATATGTCCAACCAATTTTTTTTCTATTTTGGATAGAGTAGGGAAGTGTTAGAACTGTCTGGTTATACTGCTGAGAGATTTACCCTCACTTCCTGTCTTGCTGACAATTTTTTTAACCAGACAGGAGGGTAACTCTCCAACAGCAAACACGGGCAGAAATAACTTTGACCCCTTCCCACCCAGCCCAGCATCTCTTTAACCACCTCCTGTCCGACCGTTGTATATAAACGGCTGGACGGTGGCAGTGCAGGGTCGGGTGGCCGTTTATAAACGGCCTCTCCGCCCCCTGCTTGTGCGCGCTCCCTAGGACCGCGCAGCACCGCGATTCTGGTGCCCGCTGTGTCCTCTGGACACAGTGAATGCCGATTGACGTACGGGACCTCTCTGCGAGGTCCCGATCATGTGATCACTGTTTGGCCAATCAGTGATCACATGCAGAGTAGTACGCAAGATGTCACTTCTGACATCATTGCTTACTACGTATGAAATCTGTGAATGATCACAGAGGTCACATGGTACAAGGCTATTTACAACAGCCTTGTACCATGTGAAAAGCTGTGACCAATCATAGCTCACACAGTAGTTCTCAATGGCTGCAACAATGCAGCCAGAGAGAAGGATAAATGATTGCTTTTACAGCCTTTACAGGTATAAAAGCAATCAGTGTAAAAAAAAAAATCTTCATCACCCCCCACAAGTAGTACAGTGTCACCTGTACTGCTAGGGTGACAGTATGTTAAAAAAAAAAAAAAAATATTAAAAAATAAAATAAAAATGTAAAAAAAAGTTTAAAAATTATAATTTTTGGTTATAAACTAATTTGGGTTTTTTTTTTTTTACTAAAAAGATAACGGAATACATTGTGGAAAAGATATATGATGAAATATTATTTATTTGCAAAATTTTATAAGAAAAACACACTATTTTTTTCAAAATTTTTGGACTTTTTCATTTATATAGCAAAAAAAATAAAAATCCCAGTGTGAATAAATACCCCCAAAATAAAGCTTTATCGGTCTTAAAAAAATGCTAAAAAATTCATATGGGTACAGTGTTTGCATGACCGCGCAATTGTCATTCAAAGTGTGATAGCGCTAAAAGCTGAAAATTGGACTGGACAGGAAGGGGGGTGAAAGCGCCCGG